AAGTGTCACAAAGATTAAATATTTTGTTTTTCAGTTTAACTCATGGATGGCATTGTGTGTCAGGGCTCTTTTGATCACTGAAAACAATCTCGGACACCTGTGATAATTAGATTGGCCGGTGAGCCCAATTTAAGGAAAAACTACTAAAGGACGGTGTTCCACATTATTAAGCAGAGCACCATTTTCAAGCAATATGGGGAAGAAAAAGGATCTCTCTGCTGCCGAAAAGAGTGAAATAGTTCAATGCCTTGGACGAGGTATGAAAACATTAGATATTTCACGAAAACTTAAGCGTGATCATCGCACTATTAAGAGATTTGTGGCTGATTCAGAGCACAGACGGGTTTGTGCAGATAAAGGCACATTGAGGAAAATTTCTGCCAGATCCATGCATCGGATCAAGAGAGCAGCTGCTAAAATACCATTACATAGCAGCAAAGAGATATTTGAAGCTGCTGGTGCCTCTGGAGTCCCACAGACATCAAGGTGTAGAGTCCTCCAGAGTCTTGCAACTATGCATAAACCTATTCGGCCACCACTAACCAATGCTAACAAGCAGAAACGGCTGCATTGGGCAGAAAAATACATGAAGACTAATTTTCAAACAGTTCTGTTCACTAATGAGTGCCGTGCAACCCTGGATGGTCCAGATGGATAGAGTAGTGGATGGTTGGTGGACGGCCACCCTGTTCCAACAAGGCTGCGACGTCAGCAAGGCAGTGGTGGAGTCATGTTTTTGGGCCGGAATCATGGGAACAGAGCGGGTCGGCCCCTTTAGAGCCCTCGAAAGTGCAAAGATGACCTCTGCAAAGTATGTGGAGTTTATGACTGACCACTTTCTTCCCTGGTACAGAAGGAAGAACTATGCTTTCCGTAATAAAATCATCTTCATGCATGACAATGCACCATCTCATGCTGCAAATAATACCTCTGCATCAATGGCTGTTATGGGGATAAAAGGAGAGAAAGTCATGGTGTGGCCTCCATCCTCCCCTGACCTCAATCCTATTGAGATCCTTTGGAGCATCCTCAAGCAAAAGATCTATGAGGGTGGGAGGCAGCTTACAAACAAACAGCAGCTCTGGAGGCTATTCTGACATCTTGCAAACAAATTCAAGCAGAAACTGTCCAAAAAACTCACAAGTTCAGTGGATGCAAGACTTGTGAAGCTGCTATCAAATAAAGGGTCCTATGTTACAATGTAACGTGACCTGTTAAAATGTTTAAAAAGTTAAAATGTTGTTAAAAGTTTGATTGAAATAGCTTTTGATTTCAGTAAATATGCTGCAAACACAACAAATGACAATTTTCAGTTCTTTACAACCTATAAAGTGTTTTGAAACTTACTGTGTGTAATAATTTGGAACAGTGCATTGTAAGTGTTTTATGTTTAACAAAAATCCTGTTATCATTAGGAGGTTTGTTCAATAAAATGTGAATTGTACTCTTAATAGTTGATAACATGAGAATTATACTGACTGTTATTTACATCAATTAATTAGGTAAATGAGAAAAATATCATTTGCATAATAATTTGGAACAGGGTGTATGTGTATATATTTTCTTTTGATTTGGTAAGCACAAGATAGGTGCTCATAAAGTTGTGGCTGTTCGGTGGATATATGACAGTAGTTCTGTGTGTGCTGTTTGTTTGTCTGTCTGTCACCTTGAGAAAGGGGTTCTGTGAGGCCAAAAAATTTCAGCGGAGGAACTTGCTTTTGGCACTTTTTTTTCTCACCCATTTTGTTGAGCTCTCAATAAACAAGTGAGGCTTATAAAGGCTTTTTTGATTTTTTTTTTTTAGCATTAAACACCTGACACAGGTTCTAACCCCTCAAGGCTCTTTTAAAATAAAGCAAAAAAAAAAAAAAAAAAAAACACAAAAATTGGCTTTAGGTACATCTCAAAACAGTGCCACTGTATGTATATATCTTATGTTTATATCTATTCTATTGCTATGAAGTTCCTTTAAGGCTGTGCCTACACCTGCGGCATCTGGCAGACTGTTATTTATTTGTACAGGCTGCTGCCTGCTGCTGTACACAAAGATCTGTGATTCCCAAATCACACTCCTATGCAGGGCATTTTTTTCAGTGGGAACGTGGGGAACGCAGTTTCAGCACCTCCATCACTGAATGTATGTAATGGCAAGGAGTGCTTGGGTGTGGTGAAAGTTCTGTTCTGCTGGCTGCTCGGGGATCTATTGTCACTGGAGGGAATCTATTTTTGTGTGGCAGTCTATTGTTGCTGAGGAGGTCAATTGTTGCTGAAAGGGATCTACTGTTGAGGGAGGGGTCTGTTGTTGCTGGCTGCTAGACAGTCTATTGATGATGGCTGCTGGGAGATCTGTTGTTGCTGCTGAGTCTATTGTTGCTGGGGTTGTATTTTGTTGTGGGGGCCCATTGTTGCTGGGGGAATCTACTGTTGCTGGGGGGTGTTGCTTCTATTGCTGGAGGATCTGTTGTCACTGGAGGGAATCTATGTTTGTGTGGCAGTCGATTGTTGCTGGGGAGGTCAATTGTTGCTGGAAAGGATCTTCTGTTGAGGGAGGGGTCTGTTGTTGCTGGATGCTGGAGAGTCTATTGATGATGGCTGCTGGGAGATCTGTTGTTGCTGCTGGGGTCCATTGTTGCTGGGGCTGTATTTTATTGTGGAGGCCCATTGTTGCTGGGGAATCTACTGTTGCTGGGTGGGGGGTTATTGCTTTTATTGTTATCATTAAGAAATTCCATACATGTTTCTTAGCACCACAAAATAATACTTGGCTCTTTATTATCTATAAAGAGCAATACTGGGAGATGGGTATGGAGTGGAACCAAGGGACTGTGCTCGAAGGTGGGTGGGGCAGAGACAATAAGTGACTCAGAAGGGGGGAGTTTCTGCACCTATTCTCTGAGAAAAAAAAAGCCCTGCTCCTATGTATACTGTATTATCTTCTGTGGCCATGTGAATGAGGCCTAAAGCTACATGCAGGAAGGAAAGGATCTCATGAAGGGAACATAAGGGACATATATTTTACACCTCCTTTTGAGCTTTAGTAAAGCTCAAAAAACGCTTATGTCAATATTTAAATTATGAACACCCACGTGTACACACCAACGCTTACTAGAGTGCCAGAACTGCTTCACATTAACCGCTTTCCCTATATCAGAAATACTGCTACAGGGTGGCAGGGCTGAGCAAAATCACATATATATACATGATTTTGCATTTCCGGGTAGGGGGCGTGCCAGTGCCCTACCCATGCCGCCACCGGTGGCCTCAGCTGTCGATTACCGGGTCCCAGCCAGTGATTTCCCACTGGCACCCAGCGATCGCCAAGTATCACTTAGAGAGACCTGGCAGAGCAATACAAAGCAATGTGCTGACACAGTGAAAAACACACCCAGCCAGGGGCGGACTGACCATTTGGAAACTCGGGCACTGCCCGAGGGCCCGGGGTCAGTAGGGGGCCCCATGAGATGCCCCTGGTACCATTTTCATAGGCTTTTTTGAGTTTGGGCAAGGACATAGGGGCCCCATGATCCCCTATTGCCCGAGGGCCCCATGAGTTGTCAGTCCGCCCCTGCACCCAGCACACAGTAAAACAGCACACAGTTAACCCTTTGATTGCCCCAGATGGTAACCCCTTCCTGCCCAGTGCCATTAGTACAGTGTCAGTGCTTTTTATTAGCACTAATCACTGTATTAGTGTCACTGGGGATGTCTGTGATGGTTAGTCAGTTCCCCCCAGTGTCAAAATGCCCTCCGCAGTCCCGAAGTAAGTCGCTGTTTGCCACCATTACTAGTATAAGAAAAAAAAAATGACAGTATATCTACTGCCATTTTTAGACGCTATAACATTCACGTAAACCAATTAATTTACACATATTTGGATTTGTTTTAGGAAAGACATGTAGCAGAATACATTTTTACCTAAATTTGACGAAATTTGATTTTTAAAATTTTTTTACTGGACATGTTTAATAGCAAAAAGTCAAAAAATACAGTTTTTTTTCTCAAAATTGTCTGTCTTCTTTTGTTTATAGCGCAAAAAATAAAAAATGCACAGGCAATCAAATACCACCAAAAGAAAGCTCCATTTGTGGGAAAAAAAAGGACATAAATTTCATTTGGGTACAGTGTTGCATGATTGCGCAATTGTCAGTTAAAGTAACACAGCTCCGTATTGCAAAAAATTGTCTGGTCAGGAAGGGGGGTAGATCCTCTGGAGGGCAAGTGGTTAATGAAAACAACTGCTGTGCAATTTGGGCTCCTGGCTGCATCAGCACTGACCATGCAAGTCAATGAGAGTGCTGAATAAACTCCCAGAAAATGCTTAAAATTTGCCAACAAGGCAATTATCTGTGATATACCCGGCCCTTTTCTTTGGCTGACCCAGCTTTTGCACTGCTGCCAGCTTAAAAAAATGTATAAAAGAAGCAAAGAAGCATTATTTAAATTGGAATATAGGTTTAGATCAAGTATATACAGGGAGATATAAAGCCTTAGAATACCAAATTCTGGAATATACAGATGTCAATCTACTCATTATCAGCAGTTAATTATAATTATTGTATTATTATAATAAGGTTACTTAATAATTTATTATAAACCAACATTAAATAATATTAAATAAAGAATTTTTCTGGATTGGTAAGCCTTATTGTAAATTGAGAACAAAAACACAGTATGTAAAGGACACTGGTGGCCAGAAGATGGTGCTGTTGTTTCAGCTACAAATTCATTTAGGCGCTTGCCTATGTTTGTCATTGTTTTCAAGTCCATAGATTAATAAGAAGGGATTTTCACTTTTAGCAGATAAGCAGAAAGCTGTCACCTATCTCCTGACACAGTTCCCTGCAAGATCCCCTTACCTGCTACCTACGACAGTGTTCAGGGCACTGAGGTCTTCTGGTCCTCAATGTTCCCTAAACTACGAAACCCAGTATGTACAGGAGAGGAATGTGGAAGGTGTGACAGTGGGCAGTATGTACAGGAGAGGAATGTGGAGGGTGTGAAGTGGGCAGTATTTACAGGAGAGGAGTGTGGATGGTGTGACAGTGGGGGCAGTATGTACAGCAGAGGAGTGTGGATGGTGTGACAGTGGGCAGTATGTACAGGAGAGGAGTGTGGAGGGTGTGACAGTGGGCAGTATGCAGAGGAGAGGAGTGTGGAGGGTGTGACAGTGGGCAGTATGTACAGGAGAGGAATGTGGAGGGTATGGTAGTGATCTGTATGTACAGGAGAGGAGTGTGGAGGGTGTGAAGGCGGGCAGTATGTACAGGAGAGGAGTGGGGGGCAGTATGTACATGAGAGGAGAGGAGCGTGGAGGGTGTGACAGTGGACAGTATGTACAGGAGAGGAATGTGGAGGGTGTGACAGTGGGCAGTATGTACAGGAGAGAAATGTGGAGGGTATGGTAGTGATCAGTATGTACAGGAGTGTGGAGGGTGTAACAGTGGGCAGAATGTACACAAGAGGAATGTGGAGGGTATGGTAGTGATCAGTATGTACAAGAGAGGAGTGTGGAGGGTGTGCAATATGTACATGAGAGGACTGTGAAGGGTGTGACAGTGGGCAGTATGTACAGGAGAAGAGTGTGGAGGGTGTGACAGTGGGCAATATGTACAAGAGAGGAATGTGGAGGGTGTGGAAGTGGACAGTATGTACAGGAGAGGAGTGTGGAGGGTGTGGAAGTGGACAGTATGTACAGGAGAGGAATGTGGAGGGTATGGTAGGGTGATCAGTATGTACAGGAGAGGAGTGTGGAGGGTGTGACATGGGCAGTATGTACAGGAGAGGAATGTGAAGGGTGTGACAGTGGGCAGTATGTACAGGAGAGGAATGTGGAGGGTGTGACAGTAGGCAGTATGTACAGGAGAGGAGTGTGGAGTGGAGGGTGTGACAGTGGGCAGTATGTACAGGAGAGGAGGGTGTGACAGTGGGCAGTATGTACTCGAGAGGACTGTGTAGGGTGTGACAGTGGGCAGTATGTACAGGAGAAGAGTGTGGAGGGTGTGTGACAGTGGGCAGTATGTACAGGAGAGGAGTGTGGAGGGTGTTACAGTGGGCAGTATGTACAGGAGAGGAGTGTGGAGGGTGTGGTGGGCAGTATGTACAGTGTGGAGGGTGTGACAGTGGGCAGTATGTACAGGAGAGGAATGTGGAGGGTGTGACAGTGGGCAGTATTTACAGGAGAGGAGTGTGGAGGGTGTGACAGTGGGCAGTATGTACAGGAGAGGAGTGTGGAGGGTGTGACAGTGGGCAGTATGTACAGGAGAGGAATGTGGAGGGTATGGTAGTGATCAGTATGTACAGGAGTGGGCATGGGAGGTATGGAGGCATGTGCAGAATGGAATTCTCAGGGTAGTGTGGTGGGTCTTACTTTATGTGCCACCAGTAGGTTTTACTGATGTCAGCGAGGATGTCTGTCAGGTGAGATGGGGGGTGGAGGAGATGAAGCCAGCTGGGAAGGATACCTATTATCTGGGAAAGATGAATGTAAATGGTTGGGAAGGATGTCCAGGGACTGCGTAATGGTTATTATGAGGACTGAGGAGTGTTTGACTATTCAAGGAGGGAGGGAAGACTCAGGTGGGATGTGAGGAGTCCTGTCTGTCAGCAGTGGTTGTATGTGAGGTCCCCCCCTAGGTCAAACCCTGGAGTAGTAATAATATAATAATCACTGGGTGGAGGGATGGGATAAGGGCTTGTGAAGTGACTGTGTGGGGAATATCTATGGGTAGGGGTGAGTCAGTTGGGTAAAGATGACTTTCAGTGGTGGTCTGTAGAGTAACCAGGTGTTCTGCGTGGGAAAAGCAGCGATGGAATAATGTCTGTCAACTGGGGGGTAGAAAGATGCTAGTAGTGATGCCTGTCAGTAGAAGGTATGGGAAGACCTGGGGTATGTATGTATGCTGGGGGGTTGAGAGAGAATTGGCTGATGAATGATATGTTATTTATGGGTTGGGAAATGGCCGGTCAGTGATGCAAGTTTGGGGGCAACATGGGAAATGGATGGGGAGTGACATCCTGGGTAATGGGGAGTGTGAAATGGATGATGTATGTCAGATTTTATCTCTTTCACATCTGTGGTAATGCTTTCCGCCCTCTGAAAAGCAATATGTGATCACTTTTCAGATGGCGGTATAGCAGCAGCTGAGTTGCATTCAGGGGGTGCTACCAACACCTCTTGATGCCTGTTTTTTTTTTTGCTGAATGGCAATTTTACATTGCGGGACTGAGCTACAACTGTGAGCTAAGCATTTAGCTCACACTTACAGAGCAGCCCCATTAAACTCAATGGGTGAGTTTGACAAGCAATGGCAACTGTCATACTCTGCAGTCTGAAACATGCAGCAGCTGCAAAGTAAAGCATGATTAGGTATGCAGCCAGGGGTGGCGGTAAAAACTACAGCTCAGCAGCCCCCCATGTGAAAGAGCACTTAGAGGTGATGTATAGAAATGTCTGTAAATGGAAGGGGGAGGTATATTCACTGACCACTGAACTGCAACTGAAGCTGGCTGCATAGGGCACAGGTATCCTGGCCTACTCTCTGCTTGCAAACTCCAGCCAGCTCCTGGCACAATCGCCCCCCTCTCTTAATGCTTTCAGCAGCTTCATTTCAGTCCCCCCCCCCCCCCCAGCTGTAGCCACACTCAATTCAAGTTCTACATCCAGAGCTTACAGAGCACAGTGTGGGGGGAGGCAGAGGAGGCAGAACACTTCTTTCCTCTCTCTGCATACATGGAATGTAGCAATACTGGTAAGGATTGCTGGTGGGGGAGAAGGCGGGGGGGGGGTGTTTTCAAGACCCCGGAGAGTAGTGTCGGTATGAAACTAAACTTATCTAGGCAGTGCGGACGGAGCACAGATCACAGCTTGGCCCATGTGTCTGTTATTTGGACATGTGTGCAGGAGGCACATGCAGCACTTCTCACTGAAGCCTGCTCTGATTTTTGGGACACTGTCCGGGACCTGTCGGGGACTGTGTTCAAAAATCCGTGAGTGTCCCGGGCTTTTTGTGGCAGTTGGCAACTATGCTCACAAATGCCATGTACACAAAACACACTCCATGTGTCCTATATGGAGTGTGATTTGTGGCATTTATAAGGGGCACATGGAGTGTGCTCTGTGCATGGGGGACACATGGAGTGTGCTCTGTGTATGGGGAACAGATGGAGTATGCTCTGTGTATGGGGGGGCACATGGAGTGTGCTATGTGTATGGGGGGCAGAAGGAGTGTGGTATGTGTATGGAGAGCACATGGAGTGTGCTCTGCGTGATGGGAGTTAAACTTGGGTGGGGGGGCTCATGGAACCCAGCTTACTTTACAGAGGTTGGGAGGCCCCTTTCTCAGCTCCCCATATCCCTCTTATGTGCAAGTCACCCTGTGTCTCTTAGGGGCAAAGGGAGACTAATGGACGCTGAGAATGCAGTTGAAATTCTTCAGATGGGACAGTAATATTAATCAGCCATATAAAGACTATTCCTGGTTGTTGATTGTTCAATGTTATGTGGCTGCATCCCATTGTTCTATTGTTAGTCTGGCTTGGGAGCAAACTATTATGGGATGTATGTGATTATGTGCATTAGCTTAGTGGGGGGGGTCTCCAGCAGCCCTCCCTCCTGATGGGACTGTCTGCTGGTGTGAAGTTTGAATACCTGTGTGCCTCTTGTTACTAAATGTAGATTGTCCCGCCCTGTGTCATTATGCAGGAAGGGGGATTGTCCCCTGAGTGTATATATCTTGTATCTGTGTTTAAATAAAGAGTTCCATGTTCAGACAGACTGGTGTCGTTTAATCTTGTATGGTCGGCTGTGGTGTCTGTTGTCGGTGTTCGGACGGGGAAGCGGGTATTCTAACAGAAGTACTCAAGCGCAGTCTGGGTCGGTTCCATTACACTCTGTGTATAGGGGACACATAGAGTGTGCTCTGTGTATGGGGAACACATGCAGTGTGCTCTGTGTATGGGGGACACATGGCATGTTTTGTGTACAGGGGAGTTTATGGGGGACACATGGAGTGTGCTCTGTGTATGGGGGACAGATGGAATGTGCTCTGTGTATGGGAGACAGATGGAGTGTGCTCTGTGCATGGGGACAGACAAAGTGTGCTCTGTGCATGGGGGACAGACAAAGTGTGCTCTGTGCATGGGGGACAGACGGAGTGTGCTCTGTGCATGGGGGACAGATGGAGTGTGCTCTGTGTATGGGGGACAGACGGAGTGTGCTCTGTGTATGGGGGACAGATGGAGTGTGCTCTGTGTATGGGGGACAGGTGGAGTGTGCTCTGTGCATGGGGGACAGACGAAATGTGCTCTGTGTTTGGGGGACAGATGGAGTGTGCTCTGTGCATGGGGAACACATGGAGTGTGCTCTGTGCATCGGGGACACATGGAGTGTGCTCTGTGCATGGGGGACAGACGGAATATGCTCTGTGTATGGGGAACACATGCAGTGTGCTCTGTATATGGGGGACACATGGCATGTTTGGTGTACAGCGAAGTTTATGGGGGGACACGTGGAGTGTGCTCTGTGTATGGGGGACACATGGAGTGTGCTCTGTTTATTGAGGATTTTACAGGGGCACATGCAGTGTGTTTTTGTTTACAGGGGAGTTTATGGGGGACACATGGAATATGCTCTGTGTATAGGGAACACATGGAGTGTGCTCTGTGTATGGGGGACACATGGAGTGTGCTCTGTGTATGGGGGACACATGGAGTGGGCTCTGTGTATGGAGGGCATATGGAGTGGGCTCTGTGTATGGAGGGCACATGGAGTGGGCTCTGTGTATGGAGGGCACATGGAGTGTGCTCTGTGTATGGGGGGACATATGGAGTGTGCTCTGTGTGTATGGGGGGCACATGGAGTGTGCTCTGTGTGTATGGGGGGCACATGGAGTGTGCTCTGTGTGTATGGGGGGCACATGGAGTGTGCTCTGTGTATAGGGGATACATAGAGTGTGCTCTGTGTATGGGGGAGTTTATGGGGGACACATGGAGTGTGTTCTGTGTATGGGGGAAACATGGAGTGTGCTCTGTGTATGTAGGAGTTTACACGGGCACATGGCACGGGCACATGGAGTGTGTTTTGTGTACAGGGGAGTTTATGTGGGACACATGGAGTGTGTTCTGTGTATAGGGAACACATGAAATGTGCTATGTGTATGGAGGACGCATGGAGTATGCTCTGTGTATAGGGAAGTTTATGGGGAACACATGGAATGTGTTTTGTGTACATGGCTGTTACGGGGGACACATGGAGTGTGTTTTGTGTACAGGAGAGTTTATGGGGGACACATGTAGTGTGCTCTGTGTATAGGGAGCACATAGAGTGTGCTCTGTGTATGGGGGACACCTGCAGTGTGCCCTGTGTATTGGGGACACCTGGAGTGTGCCCTGTGTATGAGGGACACATGGAGTGTGTTCTGTGTATGGGGGGCACATGGAGTGTGCTCTGTGTACATGGCATTTATGTGTCCCCCACACACAGACCACACTCCATAAGTCCCTCATAAACTCCCCTGTACACTAAAACACATTCCATGTGTCCCTCATAAAAGCAATGTACACAAAGCACACTCCATCTATCTCCCAAAAAAGTAATGTACACAAAGCACATAAAATGTACACAATGCACACTCTACTACACAACCCATTCATAAACTTCTGGAAATTTTCTGGTTCTGCAGCCCTATGTTCTGTATGAGGCAGAGTTTGGCCTGTAGAGAGGCAGGTGTCATTGTGCCGTGATAGAGCCGGATCCTCTGCTGGGTGCTCTGTACCAGAGCTGGTGTGCAGAGCTGGACTTCAGTGCCTCTCTGGAGAAGAGCCACAAATCATTCAGCAGGATTTCTGGCTATCAGGTGTCTTTCACACAGGTAACAAGCTGAGATTAGAAGCAGCCTCTTAAAGGGAGTGCTGCTAATCTCATTTTGTTACCATTATAAAAGACACCTGTCCACAGGAGCAATCAAACAATCAGATTCCAAACTCTCCATGATGGCAAAGACCAAAGAACTGTCCAAGGATGTCAGGGACAAGATTGTACAAGGCTGGACTGGGCTACCAAACTATCGCCAAGCAGCTTGGTGAGAAGGTGACAACACTTGGTACAATCATTTTCAAATGGAAGAAACACAAAACAACTGTCAGTCTCCCTAGGTATGGTGCACCATGCAAGATCTCACCTCGTAGAGTGTCAATGATCATGAGAACAGTGAGGAATCATCCCAGAACTACACGTGAGGATCTTGTCAATTATCTCCAGGCAGCTGGGACCA